TCCTAGCTCTAGTTTAGTAACTTTGACTCTTTAAGAACCGGTTTGTAACTTTACCTTGAGTTTTCTTTCATGAATGTTTGTGATGCATGTTTCTTTACTTTTAGATTTGTAATATTTCTGAATATGGGTTTCTGATTTTTTCCTTTCTGGGATTCACGATGATTGGGTGATCTTTAATTTTCTGAATACTGTGATGGCTTGCTTTAGTTTCATTTGATTAGCAAGATTTTGATTTTAAGTTCAAGAACACCATGGGAATGGGTCTTGAATAATTTTAGCATAGCTATGATTGGGAAATCAGGTTATGTCCCTTGTTAATTGAACCCTTGAGGTTAGGGATAACTCAAGGAGGTCTTTGATACAATTTTTAAAGATTTGGAAGACTTTGGGAAAAGATCATTCTAAAGATTAAAATCTGGAACTGGGAAGTTTCAGATAAAATAGCCATAGTAATTCGAATTCTGATATTAAAGTGCCGTAGCAGTTATAAAACGTAGGAATGCGAAATTTTTCCTTCATCTATGATTCAAAGAATTCCAGAACCTTATAATTGATACATTTGTGATTAGATATCTCTCTGTTAAATTTTTTTTAATACAAATCTGATAAATACCTTGTTTGATTTAGTCTTTTCTTAGTTTTAAAAGATTGATCACTTAATTTCAAGAAATTAGAAATAGGAATTAAAAAAGGGAAAACTAAACAACATGTTCCCTGAGAACGATAACTCTTTCTCCTGAGAAAAATACTACCCAACAATGATCAACAAAGTACATCAAGAAAATTTTGAAAAGTGCTTTGTGCAGCAGTACTCAATGATTCATCAACTTGAAACCAATGAATTGCGAAATGTGGGAAAAATTTTTGGTCATTTACTTGGCACCGATGCTCTACCTTGGCATGTTTTATCGTATATACGCTTGACTGAAGAGGACACAACTTCTTCTTCACGTGTATTTGTTAAAATTATCCTCCAGGTACTGATGTCAAACTCTAATCTTCCTCTATTTGTTTCTCCATGCGCTTCCATTATTATTTCAACAAATTTACATTACCAGTTTTAGAAAAATACCCAAGAAATTTTTTTTGGGGCATTATTGCTTAAAATGTGGTTGAAGTAATTTTGTATCTGAAAAGAAACCACCACAGCAGAACAATTTAAGAACTAAGAAGAGCTGATTTTGAGCTAGCTCCATACATTAGACATGGCAGTTATACAGAGAGAGAGCCTTATGCTGCCTGCCTATAAACCCATTACACATCATCAGTATTAGTTCTGTTTAGTACTGGAGTCCAAGTAAAAGACTAGGAGTTTTGGATTTCCGCAAGGTTTTATTAGGAAGAAAAGTAGCTCTATTCAGAGAATGAGTGAGGAATTGCTAGTTTTTCTATGCCACTAGGATATTTGACTACTATGGTTTTCCTTAAAAATATATTTGCTAACCCCAAAGGTAGCTCAGTTGGCAGTTGAGCTCCCAAGGGATTGCTTGGTGCAGGGATCAAACCCTGCCTCAAGCAGTTTCTTAGAAAATCTTTAGGGGCCAGAGGATAAACCAAAAATCTTCGGTTGGGGGATTGGTCTCGTCCTTTCTCCGGTTGCGAAGCTTAGTGCACCCACTGTTACAATGAGGGGCTAGCCCAAACGGACCGTACCCCGAGGGCATGGTGCCCGGAGAAAGTTGTACCAAAAAAATATATATATATATATATATTTGGTAGTGATTCTATGAGGATGTGATGTCTTCTTATGTAGCCACAAAAATTTGCAGCATTATGTGATGTCTTTATTTGGCTTGTCACCATTGCCTTACATTTTCTATTTTTAGGCAACATGATTAATAGATATTACCATTTTATTTTTATAAAAGGTGATTTTTGGTGGGTATTTATTCTATTTTGTTGTGTGATATCGTCTATGGGATGTACTGATCTGCTGATAATTTATGCCTGCTTCTCTCTCTCTCTCTATGTGGAAGATGTTGATGTCAATTTACATTGCTACAGGAATTATCGGAGCATCTTGGCATTCAGCTGCTGAATGAGCGATTAAATGATCCTACAATGAAGGACTCTTTTGAGTCCATATTTGCAAAAGATAATCCAAAAAACACACGGTTCTCCATTAACTTCTTCACATGCATTGGACTTGGTGGTCTTGCTGCTAACCTACGTGAGTATTTGAAGAATATGCCACGTCTTATCATGCAACAACAGAAACAAGTTTCTGATGAAAGTGACAGTGACAGTGACAGAAGACAAAGCAAGAGGAGGAGAAAGTGAAGCAATTTTATGATATTGTCGAAGGCTCTTCTTGCTCTTGCATACACAAAATTGTGATTGAGTGTACATGATTTCATCTGTAATTTTTCATGGCTCTTGAATGTAGGTTGGTTTGTTTGATGGTTCAAATTTTGTTGTTTTGAGATGAACAAAATTGTGATTGAGTGTACATGATTTCATCTGTAAATACTGAATCAACTTGCCTTTTTTTGTATTTTGAAAGTGGAAAGTGAGCTCTGCTGGTTGACAGATGTTGAGCTTGTTTTCTGGATAGTTGTTCTGCTCGGAATGTCTTATCTGGATTTGTTTAATTTGTTCTTAAGATTATAACCTCGTACATTAAAAAAAAATTGTCATCCATTTTAAATTTTACAATATAAAATTCAATGTAAGTGTCAATAAATGCGACATTAATTTCTTCCTCGGTTACTTTTGCGATATTAGTTTCTTAATATGTGAAGAGTTCAAATCTAAAGGGTGTTGGAAGATTTTGTAATTTAGATAAAATTAATTTCTTTCTTATAAATCCATTTTTGAAATCATTTATGATTCAGAGTAACATTAAAGAAAATAAGTCTAATCTGAGAAAGGGTCAAAAATGAATTAATTTAAAAGGAAAGAAATAATTTTATAAACATACATAATAAAAAATGAATTTAATCATGTACCAAAAATAAAAATAATTTAATCTTTTGATTAATGAAAATAAATCTATTTTAGAAGGGAGAATCTGGTTTATTTTTATTAATTCAAAATGGAAGATATAGATTAAATACTGACAAAGTAAATGGGGAATTTTTTTAGTCTTTTGGTACATGATTAAATTCCTGTTTTTGTGTGATTTAAAACAATGAATTCATATTTCCAAAAAAACAAAGAATTCAAAGAATAATGAATTATTATTTTAAAATTACTAATGAGATGATTGTTTGAGATTTCAAAATAGTTTTTATTCTGATTTGAATTAGTATTCAAGATAATTGAAGATTGCATGAAGATTGTAGAAGATATCAAAGATATCATAAGAGAGAGAAAAACATGGAATCAATTAAAAATTAAGATAGATTTTATCTTTTTAGATTTTACGTAAGAGAAATAGAATATTATTTGCCAAAGATTTGATTAGGATTGCATTACATAATAGAATAAGATAATTTAAATTTTGGAAAAGATTTCTGATTGAATTTTGAAAACGATTTCAAATTTAGATATTATACCTTTTGGGCTTTTAGGAGAGAGAAAATGTTATTATTATAAATAGGGCTCATTGCATATTATTCATAACTGAGAAAACACGATAGAGAAAAGAGATAAAAGAGAGAAAAATATACAAGGAAAAAAAGAAGAAGAGAGAATTAGATTCCTAAAATTTGGATTCTCAAGAACATTCATCCTTTTGCAAGATGAATATTTCTCCGTGCTGCTTAAGGAAAAAAAAAAGCACCGAGGTAAATTAGTTTAATCGCGGACCAGTCCACTCTTTTTTTTTTTTTTTTATCTAAACCCTAAAACCCCAATTTCTCATTTCTCTCTCTTGTCATGGTTTTCTTCTTCCGATTTCTTCGAAAGATCTCACCCATCAGGCCGAGCCACAACGAACCAACCTCTGCCACAACTCAAAACCTCCGCCACCACGAATCATTTTGATAGAAATAGAATGGCATGGTTAATTAATTTCCAACTTGATGATTTGTCTCTTCGTTACACGCGAAATTAAAAATAATTATTCTAGATTATTGAAGTTTTCTGTTCTGTTTTATTTGAAGTTTGGTTCCCGCGCACTTGATTATTATTTTTTAAAAATAATTATTCATAGCAATTCTATATATTTCATACAAGAACTATCAGGTGTTGATTTAACTGGTCGGAGTCTTTAGGAATTTACATAACTTAATGTCTATAAAAAAAAAAAGGCTTTTTAATCAAGGGCAAGGCCTAAGCTCACATGGTAATTTGACGCTGAGTTAGTGGGGTTGGATATGTGTTCGATTCCCGCTGGATGCGGGGAGGGGGCTGAACTTTTAGCCATCACTTCCTCCGCACTCCGGATTAGTTACATAGCTGGCTAAAAGAGTCGAAGTTCGTGGGGATACCGGATTAGTTACATAGCCGGGGATACCGGAAATAGTGAACTCGTCTCAAAGAGATAATTAGGGTTGGGTAACTAAAAAAAGGCCTAACTGATCCGGACCCTGACCCGGACAAACCCATTCCCACTTTTTGAACCTTATTCTTCAAACCAAAATCTTGCCCCTCGTTATTGCACTCCGCCCTGCACATCTCACCCCAAAGCCTTCATACCCCACACTCTCTTCTCTCAATGCTAAAGAAATACCAAACCCTAATTGTTTATTTCAATCAAAGAAACCCCTCAGCCCCTTTTTCTCCAAGATCCGAACTCCAAACAAACTACCACTCAGGAAACTATTATCCGCCAATGCCAGCAGATAATACCCCAAAGATTTCGAGTTCAAGAAGCATCAACGAACTTCAATTCTCAGGCGCATTACCTCTCTCTCTCTCTGTCTCTCTTATTAGCAACAATAAATAAACCCAGGGATTCATTTCATGCATTCATGTACTTAATTCTATACCATTATGTCACTTCATGCTCTATCTGTTATCTCTTTTTTATGTTCCAATCGGTAGTGGTTTGTGTAATCATCTTCATTTCTGGATTTTGCTTCCTAATTTGGTTTCATTGGATTGCAACGATACAGATGAGTGTTGTGACAGATTCTCCAGCATATTCATCCAGCATTGATGATTTCATTGCATTTCTTGATGCTGCACTAGATGCAAATTCACCCAATGCATCGTCAGATAAAGAAGATGGAAACCAAGATGAGTTTGAGAGTGTCAGGTTTTCTTCATTGCCCATTTCATATTATTTATATACTTCCTGGAATGAGTTAAGTTGTTGCCGATTGCGATTTCACAAATTTATTGAAGTTTAGTTGGTAATTTTGTATGACATATTCATATGTCAAGTCATGATTCCTTAGAGGACTAAACATTTTTTAGATACAGAGTGCAATGGGGTTCGATTGATCCATGTAGCTGACCCCATCTTGTAGGGCAAGGCTTGGTTATTATTGTTGTTGTAGGGTACTGTGGTTGTTGAGACTTTAATTGTAGTTGAGTAAGTTGCTTGCTAACTACTTTCAAAGTGTTTTAAATTGATTTTCTTTTATCAAGATCATAATAAAAACATAGATGATCATACTGTGAGCTTTTAATTACATCTATGGCATTCTTTTAATATAGGTAAAGACACACTGAAATGGTCGTCTAGGTAAGGGATCCTTACTCCTTCTTTCCGTGTCAACTATGTTATAGAATGAATATCACTACTAGTTATGCCTTGTCTTCTTAACTACTCACGTTACTGTCTTCTTTATCTTTGTTTTGCTTTCAAATCTTCACTGTCTTGTGAAAACTTATTTTTACTGGCCTGTGGAATTTGGATGCAATTTGCATAAACCTGAGAGAAACTTGGGTTTTGGGGTTCATGTTTTTGGTGTCTATTTGTGTTGCAAATGTTATTCTGAGAGATAATCATGTAACGCTATGGTTTTTTTTTTGTTTGTCTCATGTTTTTGGTCAAATCTCACTGTGTTATACTTTAATTTATGAATTAAAGCAGAATTAAAAGACGTAAATTTGAAAGCATTGAGGAAACTGAGGGGTCTGCTTCAGAAGGAACCAAGGAACGTAATTTAGGTAATTTTGATTGTTTTGGTTGTGTTTCTTCATTATCTTTACTGCAAACCAGAATCATTCCCACCACATGTGCAGCTGATTGTAATTTTCAAGAATTTATTCATGGACAGCTCTTTTAGAGCAAGAAGACCAATTTTTAGTGAAGGATGTGATAACATTTCCTAGTTTTACCTTCCTAGTTTTTTACCACTTCACCAAGAAGCAGTATGGATTGTTTATTTACTGACACTGTCAGTTATAGTAGAGTAATGGTTTATACACAGACAGATTCGTGTACACTCCACACTGCCTTTATCGTGGGCCACTGGATAACTACTAAACCTTACCTAAACTCATTTGTAATGGTTCAGATTCTGCACAATGTTTTTACATGTTTGTGCAACTATTATTACAGTTCGTATACAACTTTATCATTTTGTCTTGAAAGTATTGTAACTTTCTCTTTTTTATTGCTATTGCAGAGGCATCCTTGGAGGTAGATGTATGTACACATCCTGCCTCATTTGAACTTGCTGACTCATTTGAAACAATGTGTATACATTGTGGGCAAAAGCAAAAGTTGGATGGGAAATCTGGTGTGAAATTTGGGTACATACATAAGGTACACAATGTTTCAGTTGATTATCTTGTGGAATTACAAATTTGTTTTTGGATAGTTATTGCTGCTGCATGTTACAGTTTTCACATAACTGTTAGATCTACTTGAAATAAGTTGTAGCTTGGTAATCTGGTCTAATGGCTGTTATTGATCACAACCAAAAAGTGTAGTGGTTAGCCTGTAGCACCACTCGTTTAGGATATATTTCTCTTTTTTGGAAGTAATTGTCCCTATAAGAAATAAAATATGTTGTGCTGGGGCATTCATATATAAGTATACAGCTGCATGCTTTATATTCTCCACCATAGTTTGGTGATGTTAGGATTCTCTTGGTTTTATATACATCACATATCCTCTAATATTAATGTAAAAATCCTATATTAATTTTCATGATTTTGTTAGTTAGCATGATGGTTGGGCTGGTACAAATAACCTAGTCAATCTACATAATTTATCCAAATAACAGTTTATTAAATATGATGGAAAATTTTGTATTTGCAGGGACTGAGACTTAAGGAAGAAGAAATTTCTAGATTGCGCGATAAAGACACGAAGAACTTGTTATTGCAGAAAAAGCTTACCTTGGTTCTTGACCTAGATCACACACTGCTAAATTCTACTGATCTTGTTCATTTGAGGTCAGAAGAGTTCGATTTACTTCCCCAGACAGATTCTCTAGAAGGTATATTTGCTTTTGCTTTCGCTAATTGGCATCAGTATTTTGAATGAGCAGTTTTTCCTAACACTAAAGTGTTTTCACCCCGTCTTTGTTGTTTTTATAATGAAACGATAGATGTGTCCAAAGGTAGCCTCTTCAAATTGGAGCATATGCGCATGATGACCAAGTTGAGGCCCTTTGTCCGCACATTTCTAAAAGAAGCAAATGAGATTTTTGATATGTACATATACACCATGGGTGATCAGCCCTATGCATTAGAGATGGCCAAGCTGCTTGATCCTCAAGCAGAATACTTCTATGAGAAGGTGATTTCTCGAGATGATGGGACTCAAAAGGATAAGAAGGGTCTTGATGTTGTGTTGGTGGAAAAAAGTGCTATCCTAATTCTTGATGATACAGAACACGTGAGTGCATTGCTAGTTTCTGATTTTTAATGCTGAATTACTTAATTGGAATGTCTGTTTGATGATAGTTATTTTAATGTGGAAGACAGTCCTAGAAAATTTTTCTTTTGACCTATGTATGAACAAAACATTGATTTGGCATATATGCCACAAAGTCTATTTCTTTTTTTGTTTATAATTATTTTAGTTATAATGGAAGAAAAATATTATCTTTCAATTGCTAAGTGGCACTGAAAGCCATTCAGTCTTTCATTCTGATACATCCCCTCCGAAAATGCAAGTATACCGTAGGAAGAGATGCAGGGAATTATACTCTTCTGCTGAATAAGCAAAGGAGGGCAAGTTGGTTGGAGAAAATGGTTAGGCACTTGGATGTATTTAGAAGGGGGGGTCTGCTGAGCGGGAAAGGAATCTGAGGACTTGGGACTTAGGCTGGGAGAGTTCAGGGGCTGTAAAATCCCCTGGCTTATCTTGTTTTCTGCATTTTCCATTGCTTTCAACTGTTTCTCAGTTTTCTCTTGTAATTTCCATTGGATCTGAGTTCTGTCTATTTTTGATTCCACAGTGAATCTTATTACAGTAAATACAAAAACCAGTGTTTCCTTGTGTTAATGGTTGTAGTCAGAGTTGGATTTTACACTTTCATCCATTAAAAGCAATCTATTGGGATTCACAACTTTGGTCAGACTACTTCTAACTGAAAATGTTACAATTTGGGTCAAATAAGTGAATTACGATTGTATAATATGAATAAAAAAAAAATTATAACTCTATAATGTATTACGTTGGTAATAGGGCATAGAAGTAAGAAATTAGTTTTTCTTGTATATGCATTTGGTGTTTACAGAAATTAAGAGTGCTTGAAGGCTAGCTCCAGATTCTAAAGGTTTTTTGGAAACCATTTTGCAAAGATGTTTACATCAAATTTTATTAGAGCATTTCGAACTTTTTGTTTGTTTATATTTTTGAAAAAAAAATAATTTCTTCTAGGTTTAATTGTGTTCGAATCAGTTTACTTTGCAATGTTGCTTTCTATAAAATATAACACAGATTAGGAAATATGACTCTTGACTCATGTCCAGTTACTGGTGCTATTGGACTTATTTTAGGGGGAAAAAAATATTTCTATTTCTTTTTATACTTTAATACATACATATTCGTAGGTTAGAGATCAGACAATGTTAACAGGTTTTGAATTCCGTTATGGTTGAACTTTTTATTCTAACTAGCTTCATATGAGTGCAAATCTGAATGGTTGATGTGTCTGAAGATGTTGCAGCGTGGCCCATCACAATGGGATTTGAAGACAGCTTATATGTAATTTTGACTAAGCCTGATTATTCCCACTTATAATGCTTAAACTTTGTCTTTCTCTTGTGAGGATTTCAGTGTAGGGGTTTGTGTGATTATTGGTTAACATAGTGGGCGTTTTAATTTTTTATTTTTATTTTTTAGAAATTGAATCTAATTATCTCTGTAAAGTTCACTCTCTATATACGAAGCTCAGAGTTTGAAATGTGTTAATATCTATCCATTTAATGTTTCAGATGGCATTCTTTTTTATTTGGTAATGTATGAACTAAAGTCATCTCCTTTTAATGGGATGTATGAAAATGTTGCTACTAAATGTTGTAGGCATGGAAGGAGGAGGATAAAGAGAATCTGATACTGATGGAAAGATACCATTTTTTTCCTTCAAGTTGTCAGCAGTTTGGTTTAAATTGCAAATCTCTTGCTGAATTGAAGAGCGATGAAGATGAAACTGATGGACCACTCTCCAAAATTCTCAAAGTGCTGAAGCAAGTCCATTGCACATTCTTTGATGTACGTCTCTTATCATTATGTCATCCTGATTAAAAAGTTGATTATTTCATGATATAATGCTAAAAATGTGTGGTGGGGAAACTTTTGTAGAAACTTCAAGATGATCTTGTTGGTCCAGATGTGAGGAAGGTAGTTATGCTGTTAATATTTGGTTGTCTTCTAGCTCTAGCTTTATCATAATATATTGTTTGTCTTCTATTAATGTGGTTCTTACAATCAATTCATTTTTTTCTCCAGGTTCGAAGTGAAGTCTTAAATGGTTGTGTGATAGTTTTCAGCCGTATCTTGCATGGTGCATTACCAACTCTCCGGAAGATGGCAGAGCAAATGGGAGCCACTTGTGTGACAGAACTTGAACCCTCTGTGACACATGTAGTTGCTACTGATACTGGAACTGAGAAGTCACGGTGGGCGGTGAAAGAAAACAAGTTTTTGGTTCATCCTAGATGGATAAAAGCTGCAAATTATTTTTGGCAAAAGCAGCCTGAGGAGAACTTCTTTCTAAAAAAAAAAAAGTAGTAATGACTTAGGGCCCGTTTGATGGATAAAATAGGATAACGATGGATAGGATAAGATAGCTAGATAGCAATAGGAAAGGATATGGGCCTGATAAGCTCATATATATCCTATTTTTGATGTGCACATGATAGGTAGAGTATCAAACACTGCTTTGTTCATATTTTGTTTTGATGTTATATTGGTCCAAGGTTTTGAAAGGTTATTTCATTGCCTATCTAACAAACTTCTGATTGTGAACAGTCATCTCACCATTTTTTTAGTAGTAATTAAAAGTATGTTTAACTCGTTAGCTTTTGGACTATTTCCTCCATGGAATGCTAACAATAAAATTCTTATATGGTCAAAGCATGCTCAACTTTCTAGGCAATATCCTTAGCAGATTGCAAGACGTGAAACGTGCATACAAGGGATAAGCACAAGCACCAAGATATGCACATGGAAGATTATCATGATGCAGCCTTGACCATTCTTTAGAGAGCAAACGTTAACCAGAATCGTACAGAAAATAGAAGGCAAATATGCACAAACTTTAATTGGAAAACCATGTGATACAAATACAGTAATACTATACATGGTAGTTAAAAAAAAAATACAGTAATACTATTATACCTAAAGAATGAAAAAATTAAATCAAAAAAATTGTAGAAACTAATTCAACCCAATATAAGGTGTAGAAACTAATTAAAAATCGAAAAAATTGAAAATTTAAAGAATGAAATTTTTTACTGAATTGGATCGGGTGTCAGTTCTGATTTTAAAAAAACGGTTCCAATCCAAACTAAATCAAATTATATGTATGCGTATAATTTTATTTATGAAATTACCATACCACCCATATTTATATACTTATTTTCCTATTCTTTTTGTGAGAGAGGACCTTGAAATTTTACAAAAAGTGCACAAAATAGGCATATGCACTTTTCGTATCTTATCATTATCATCAATGACTAAAGATTAACAGCCATGAGCTTCTTAAAAATGCTCATATCAGTTATGCTTGTTTATGCAAATATATATATATATATATAGCTTTTTTTTATTACATTATTCTCTAATAGATATCTTATTATCTTAATATTATTTATTAGTTTCTGATTAGCTTAAAATCTCTTCTTGTGTCTCTTGTTCTCCTTTATTATATAACTTCTGCATTTTATATTGAAAAATGAGTTGAAATTAAAAGTGGTCAAAAAAGATAAAAGAGGATAAGAAATTCTTAACAAAGTTACAAAATAAATCACAGCAAAAGCAAACAAATAGATTTGTATCATACAAATGCTGGTTGTGACATTGTGTAGGTTCTCTTTTAAGTTCTAATAGTCTAAATTTAAAATGAGCTATGTTTACTTCCTCTTGAAAAAATTGAAAAATTGATCCAATTCTAATCACTTTAGGTTGGATTAAATTTGAATATAGAACCAAACCATTGAGCGATAAAGTAAAACAAAAATAATGAGATTGGATCCGATGTTGTTCTTTTCAAAAACAAACTTTCCAATTCGTGAATATCCTTAATATATAATACAAGCAAGTAAAAAACTTCTTAATTATCCTTGTTACGGAACTCATTATGGTCCCGCACAAATCTTTTGTCCTTTCCCCCACTACAAAATAAGAATTACACATCTCACCTACTATATACAGATCCTTGAAAACCAGAAACCTTTTACCCACATCAGTAAGGTTTTCATCCAGGCCACCATATAACGACAAAGACCTTCACCCTAAATCATTTTCAAATAGGTATATTTCTGATCAGGACATGATATATGTGAGATGAAGGCTCAATTCAATAAAGGCCCATAAACCATGAATTAATCTTGAAGGAACCAAGTTCATCCCGTGTATGAATTGTGAGCATCTCGCAACTTAGCTTACAATCCAAAGTAACTTAGCATGCAAGAAAATATCATTGCAGAGATTAGTAGCTCAGGGCAACTTGATCTCCACATGAACTCAATGAATAAATGGCAACACCAACTCGTCGCTATATCTACTAGGGCTAGCCTGACTATAGGCTTCTCGCCCAAGGAATAGCCTGTAAAAGACCACCATTCTCTACTAATCGAAATTGACACCGCCATTTGAAAGGCGGCATTAAGCAAGACACCCTTCCATTATAAATACAAAGGCATTCAACCCAGGTAAGATAATCTATCCTTGAATACTTGAACTATATTGAATACTGAACTGACTTGAGCGTCTGAGTCAGTCTCCTCAAATTGCAGAGACATTAGGCTTTTAAATCAACCATCTCACCAAATAGCTCAACATCTCGATATGCTTACTTATTAGCAACATTTCTTTTCATCAACATCTTTTACCTTCAACTGTTTGTGATCAAACTTAGCCCAATATATGTTGGACTGATCATTGGCGCCATCTCTGGGGACGATAAATTTTGACTCTCACTCCATACAAATTAAAAACATGTTGATACCTAGAGCAAGATAACCAAATTTCCAAACGTGGCATCACCTCGCCATAAGAGAACTTACATGAATGACAGAACCTACATCTTGTATGACTATACATCTCGCTATTCATACTTCTAGCATAAGCAACAAGTTATGGGACTTTTGATTTGGATCTAATATATGCGAGATGAAGGTCCACTCCAATAGAAGCCTATAAACCATGACTTAATCCTGAAGGAACAAAGTCCATCCAGCGTATGAATCGTGGGCATCTTGTTAACTTGGCTGACAAGCCAAAGTAACTTAGCATGCAAGGAAACATTATTGCCAAGATCAACAGCTCAAGGCAACTTGACCTCCACATGAACTCAATGAATGAATGACAGCACCAACTAGTCGCTATATCTACTGGTGCTAGCCTGGCTGTAGGCTTCTCGCCCAAAAAATAGCCTATAAAAGGCCATCATTCTCCACCAAAGGGAATTGACACCGCCATTTGAAAGGTGGCATAAAGCAAAGTCACCCTTTAACTATAAATACTGAGGCATTCAGTCCATGAAAGATCATTTATCCTTGAATACTTGAACTATATTGAATAATGAACTGACTTGAGCATCTGAGTGCTTTACATGTAACCCCCCTCCCCCCGTCTCCTCAAAGACATCATGCTTTCAGATCAACCATCTCTCCAAGTAGCTCAACATCTCAGCAGGCTTACTCATCAGTGACCGTTCTCTTCATCAACATCACTTCAATTGTGCGAGATTTTAGGCCCACCCCAATGTATGTCGGACCAATCAACTTCTATCTTATACATTCTTCTCTCATATATATTAACTTGAGTGCCACAGTTTCTGTAGGTATATCACCCTCTCTTACCCACTATAGCATTGCTTGCTGGCTGTCACCTAACCTCCGTAAATGGAAGCTCAAACTGCACGTCTAAAACAATTACAACTTTTTTCAAGTAAACACCTCAAAATAATCCTTAATCAGGAGGGAAGTTCATTGCTTTGCTAAGATAAAAAAAATTTCCCAAAGAACGTCTCGTCAACTTCTTTCCCTTCTTTTTTGCTCACATGTAATTGTCACGCCTTATTAACTTATAAAGGAAAGAGAGTGAAATATTAATCATTAAGTCATATCACTTCGATTGTCAAATTACTTATATTTATATAGTTATTACATATTTTTACGTAAATTTAATTTAATCAATTTAACCAGTAATTCATGGGTTAAATTAGTAATACATTATTCTCCAAATAAATCTATAACTGATTCGAGTTTAATATCATTATTTTAAAACTTTCGATGACCTAAATATACAAATAAAAACCTCGATGATTGTGCTAGATGCTTGCATGAGTGGCTGAATTTATATGACAATGAAATCTGAAACCCTTTATTGGCATCAATCTGTGTCTTCTACGTGGTATGTCGCGTGGAAAGAGAGTGATGTTTCGAATATTCTGAAAAATCTTAATTAGCACCACTAGGGTTACTTTAGTGGTGTTGGACGTGTTTAGTGTATATTAGGTTTGTAGTTCGATTCCATGTAATGTCAAAAAAAAAATCTTAATTAACAGTCTAGTTGTAATTGGAGAAGATAAATAATACGTTATGTTTGCTACTAAGTTTATACACTTATACATATATATCAACGTGACATTTGAAAATTGACTGACCCAAATTTGATACCTAATCTAAAAGGACAACGTATACGAATTTGTGTGAATTTTATGCCTTTGTCTCTAGAACAATTCCATATTATAACTGATCAGGTAATCTACCGGGGTTTATGGCTCGCCAAGTTAAATTTGATTTATTATATTTAGTAAAATTGATCTACAATAGGCGAAAATTAACCTATTATATCTAATAAAATAGAACAAGCTCAAACCTATAAAAGACTATTTAGAAATCACGCCTTAGATTTTTTTTTACAAGGCACAGTCTATAACTATAAGCCTTACGAGCTACTTCATATCATATTATTTATTTTAAAAAAATAAAAAATTTATTATTCTAATAATTTTGAATAAAAAATTATTATTCTAATAATTTTGAAAAAAAAAATATCATTTTAACTATTTTTAAATTATTGAATGCATTATAAGCTTATACAGGCCTAAACCAAATCTTTTATTTTTAAATATAGGTCCGACCAGACTTATAAATTGAGTCTACACAAGATTAATAGATCATGACAGACTTAAAATATTTTTCATAAATCTAACTTATTTAAGTCAAAGTTTGTCCCAACCCAACCCATTTAGACTAAAAAAAAAACAAAAAAATTTAAAAAAAATTGTAGTTTATTATTATTTTGGAATATTTTTTTAAATAACTCAATCAATTTTTTTAAACCAAATAAAGACACAATGTTATATAATAATGTTCCTACAACGCTTATAAACAAAACAAAAAGCTCTGACCTACCGCATCCAAAAAAAATTAAAATGTTATTATTTTAGTAAATAATTATGAATATATAGCTGTTTTAAAACTATTTACGAATTTATTGCATTCATTCACGTCCAATTTGGGCGTGACGCATGAGGCATTTACGCCTAAGTTAGGCGTGATTCATCTGGTGTTGATACGTGACACAAAAAAATTAATAGTATAACTGTAAAACTTCGAAAAGCCATAACTTTAACACAGGTATTCGAATAAGATAATTTTTTTTGATTCCATATAAATTTTTTTGTAAACGATTCCATATAACTTTTCTACATCTAGCAATGACACCTCATTTGACATATTTTATCTCTCACAAATATCTTTCGAATTTGTAAAAAAAAAATTCTCCTCTACCAAACACTCCCTAATATATTTTCAAAAATAAAACAACAAATAAATCAGATATGTTGATTGTAAAAAATAAAAAAATTATTGGGGTAGCTCAGTTGGCAACTGAGCTCCCAAGGGTTTGCTTGAGTCAGGGGTTCAAACCCTACCTCAAGCAAATTCTTGAAAAATCTTTGGGGGCCAGATGATGTGCCTCCCTCCTCAAATAGGGGATTAGTCTCATCCTTCCTCCGGTAGCGAAGCTCAATGCACCCGCTGTTCCAATGAGGGCTAGGGGCTAGCCTAAAGGGCCATACCCCGGGGGCAAGGTGACCGGAGGAGGTTGAATGAGGATACCTCCAGATTATACTAAAAAAAATAAAATTAAAAATCGATGCATTTTTCTTTTCCGATTTGCAACTGATTCTTTTTTTACAAAAAAAAAAAAATTGGTTGCTGATTCATCTTCTGTCAATATTGAATGAAAATAGACTAATTTGATTTGAGGATCAAATTTATTTTGATAATATATTATTTGCAATGGAGTCAAAAAAAAATTATTAGGGGGTAAAATTGCATGAGTTTAAAAATTCATAAATAAAATAAAATATTACATAATTGAATAAAAATACTCACAATTACTATATAAATCAAAAGACGTAAATGATAATATAATATATTATAATATAAATAAAAATACTCAAATCAATTGGCTTTTTGACCCTTTTGCCCCTCATTAATTAATTAATAACTATTTTGTCCCTTATCCAAAACTCTCCACCAACCTCCCCCTCTTTAATCAATTAACTGCAATATTTAATCAGTTAAATGGTCATAACACGTAAAAAAAAGTTGACCCGAGGTTTGATCGATAAAATCTCTCACTTAATCGATTAAATCTCGGGTTATTTAATCGATTAAACTTTTTATTTAATCAATTAAATCACGCCAGAAACCCTATATTTGCATTTCTCGGTCTCATTTCAACTCTACTCGTTTTTTAAACCAAAATCTCTCTTGTTTGTCATCTATAATCCAAACTATCAAGAGTCTATTTCTTCCCACCACCTCTAAAGCCTTAATCTTGTGAAATTATTGTCATTGCACTTATATATTTCTTTGTTGTTGGAAAAATCCAAACTCAAACCCCCCAAAATCCGAACCCTATATTGGTTATATTTACAAAACTCAAAATTTATAAATTATTACAAACTATACTATATATTATGGATAATACTATTACTTGAACATGTATTACCCATAGTACCTATACTATGATACCCAAATTCATAGTATTCACTATTCGCACAATTTAGAAAATAATTTATAATATGCAATAATATCTTGCTTTTATAAGATTGATTACGTAAATTGAACTTTGCCCAATAATGACACCAACTTCGTACTAGGCTTTCTTCAATTTTTTATAATTATAATTGGGTTTATCGTTAATTTCTAGATAAATTTATTTTCACCAATCTTAAAATTACGTCGTTGCAAGGGTTTGAGATTAATGAAAAATATTTTGGTAAAATTTATACAACAAAGAAACAAATAAAATTTCAAAAATATCCTTCGCTAATTTTCTCACTCCCAAAATGACGGAAATTGTAGTGGTAAGAGAAACATCTTTCCTATAATAATATAGTAAATATATATTTTTAAAAATGTTATTTTTAGGATTGATTGTAAATTTTTTTTGGTTAATTGTTATTATTCAATTAAAAATACAAAGGATATAAGAGGAATAACATGAGCTTCAATGTCCCATGATTGAAACAAAGGAGCTACAGTTGTTGTTGGTATAGAGGTATAACACATGATTGTCTCTGTTGTCTTGTCCTTTCTTCACAGTTCATAATCCCTTCACTGGCTTCAATTCAACTTTAGGTTCGTCTTTCTGTTTTATCAACCACTTTCCTTGCACTATCACACACATAACCAATTTGTTTTCCCTTTGTTCACAGAGATAAGGAGAACAAGCCTTGCCCTTATGTGTTCTTCACTATGCGTTTTAATTCTCATTTATCATTTCTTAAAAACGGGGTAACTTATAGGGTAACGTTTTAATTCACATGATTTTTAGGCTTTCTAATGTGAGGACTTTCAAATCAAGCCTAGATTCGTATGTCTTCTTAAGTGTTACGAAAGTATTCTTTCATTAACCACTTCTCTCAAGTCAGAATTTGATTCCAATTATCTGCTTCTATTGTTATTTAATCAATACTATATAACGAGACATGACTGACGACTAATGCAGATTTTCTTTCCCCCTTCATGTTAAAAATATCTAAACTAATTTTTTTAAGGGAAAGTTATACTTACAACTTATTTTCTTTACAACCTTTTACAACCATATATCTTAACCGTTGATTTTTGCCAATCAACGGTTAAGATTTTCACAAATTAAATTTATTAATTAATTATTAAATCACAATAAGTGATAACCGTTGATTGGCGAAAATCAACGATTAAGATATATGGTTGTAAGAGATTGTAAAGAAAATAAGTTGTAAGTATAATTTTTCTCATTTTTTTATATCATAATAGCCTTTTTACATTTATATTTATCCAAAATATCGCCTTTAATACCCATATCCACATTTACTCATTTGTAAATAAGGTCAAACTCAAAAGTCACTAGAGTCATTTTGTAAGGTAACCATAATAAAATATCTATTGAATATCAATATCATCAAAATAATTAAACTTCATTTACTCAAATCCAGATAGTGTGACACTGCATAAATAAAGCAAATTAAAAAGTAAAATGTTAAATCTTGTCTTGTAATAAATATTGTATATGACAGATTTCTAGCAAAACTAAATTTCACGTCCAATTATATTTACCAATATCAAAATATCAATTGTTCATTTCTACTTTATGTTAAGAAAATTTAACTTAAGGATTTTTTTTCTAAAATATAGCACAGTCGAAGCAGAAAAGAGAATCACATCAGATTAAAAGAATGGATCTATTAATCTCATGTTGCATGAAATAATACTGTTGCATGAGATAATACAACATGAGATAATTATCTCATGTAATAGAGAAAATATAGTGGGATTCACTACTTTTTCAAAAAAAAGAAAGAAAACAAAAAAATAATAGACCCCACTATTTTATATCTGTTACATGAGATAATTATTTCCTTTAAAAGAAATGGATGTTTGGAGCAATTCAAAATTTTGGCAAATATGAAACTAAACCCACCATACTTAGATATGCATAAGATTCATTCATATATTACTGTTAACAAAACGACAATTCTCAGCAATCTCATAAACTACTATAGTTATATCCAAGTTCAACTCAAAAGTAAATATTAAATGTAGTTCATACAAAATATCACCAACCTAATTTGACACACGTTTGACATTACATTTACAAACTCAGCAAGGCGTTCAGCCTCACTCGCATCCCTTAAATAGACAAGTTGAATAATAACCTTCACTGACTCGTAACATGATAAACCACAACTGAAGGTCAGGCAATTGAAAAACAAGGAGTTGATGCAAAGCATTCGCAGATTAATATTTCCAAAATAAGCAGAGATTATGCATATTGTAATTATGCCAAATATGTTAAATATTTGGCAATCAGCACTAAGATGCAACCAAAATGATAGATAAAACTTTCAAAATCACAGTCAATTAGCCTTTGCTATAATTTAAGACACACCCAAACCAATAATTCCCAGTTTGAAGGAGTCGAGTCGGATCTCTAACAAAAAAAACCACTCCCCGTTTAACTCGATAAACGAGTGTGGGGTGGAGGAAATTCTTGTATGCAGCCTTACCTTTGCATAATTACAAAGAAATTGTTTCCTGGATTCGAACCCATGACCTTCAGTCGTGAAGGAAAGGTTTTACCACTGCTCCGGATCTCTAACAATGGAAGAAAAATAAACTCAATCTCAACTCCATTTAAAAGAGAATATAGACTATCCAGTATTTGCTCAGCCACTAGGTATTATTTCTTTATCATAAGAGAGCGATCCTAGAATAGTGCTAAAACTGTTTCTTTATGTTTGAAAGGTCAAGGGTTCAAATCTGAAAAATAATCTCTTTGCAAATATGTAAGGGTAAGGCTGCGTATATGCTCTCACCCCACCCTCGCTAGTCGAGGTTTATTAGGAAGTGGCTCAATGAAATCAACTCTGGCCAGCGGAAAGTTCTGAAGTAGGTACTTCACTATCCTATTTACTTCCTCATCAAGTAGTTTTGCAGATGATTGCATTTTCACTTTCAATGCCTCCAATCTAACAAAGCAAGGAGGTTGTGTACTCGTTGAACCGGATTTTGAGAGATCCTACACAATTAGAGTGAATTAGAGATATATTTTAATAGATATTCTGAAATGTAAGAGATTGAATATTGACATAAAAATGCAGACATCTTATAAGCAATGTGAAAAATAAAGAGAAGAAATCGAGTTAAAGTAAAACTTACACTTAATAATATAGAAAGTGTGTCAGAAGTAAGTGTCATTATCTTTACATTTGCCAGCACTTTCAACCAGTTTAGAATGACTAAATCTTTGCTAATATCTAAACCTGCATCCATAGGAAAAAACCCCTAACCCCTAAATGGATGTGAATATATACTTCTTCGAGAAAAGAAAGATTGCATGCGTAGGATAGTTGGAGCATAGGAGTACCCATGACAGTAAGAGAATTGACATTTGGAGTAGAAATCACAATTTTGTAAGGTGGAGAACTAAGGAGATGATAGCATATGGTCAAACTAGAAAGGTTAGAATTAGATATGCGAAGGGTTTTAACATCATCATGCAAACGAAAGCTACTAATGAACAATGTATCCAACATCTTACAGGTTGAAAAGGGGTCAGCACAGTCATTGTCACTTGCAGTAAACATGACATATTCAAGATGCAAGCTTTTTAATGCCGGCAATTGCAGATATTTCGGAATCTCTAACCTGTGTGAGAGAAAAATACGAAAAGAAACCTTAAGAGATGTCAAAGACCGACAGGAAAAGATTATAGGGTCAAACTCAAAATTGGGATTGGATTTCAAATGCGCATCGATGGTCAACTGCTGGATATTGTGCAACACAGCATAACTCATGAACCTATTCAGCAATTCGAGCTCAAAGGATCTATGGCTACGTAAGATGAAATCAAGACTATGTAGGGAGGTGGAATGATGACGATTAGACAGAACCGAAGACACAAACATTTTAAAATTTGCATCATCAAAAGCTCGGATGTTATCGAATTTGAGAACAATGAGATCTTTCCAAAGGTCCTTCCACCTTTTAGACAAGACACAAGTCCGAACAGCATCTTTTATGCTTATAAATTTCATTATATGGATCAAAACATCGTCAGGAAAGCCACTTAGGTTATCCCTGTCCCTGTCTTCTCTCCGTCTCTTCATCTTCATCATCCACCACCTGACCCATTAAAGTTAAACAAATGCTTATTGAGAAATCCAAAATTCTAAGAATTCAACTCAAAATAGGAAACGGGCAAAAATATATAGCAACAATTAAAAACTCGATTTAAATATGCGATTTTATAATTTTATAATTTCTTTTAATTAAAAAGATTTCATCAAGATTCAAAAAACTTTTACACAATTTTTTTTTACGTTATAATTCTACGTTTTATATGATTTTGTATCCTCTTTTTTGATTTGAAGTAAAATCTCAATTTTAACTACCATGAGCAACCCAACACAACACAACGCCACACCCCACAAACAATATAATAGAGCAAAACAACACAACAAAAAACAAACAATACAACAAGCCAAACAATAAAAGAACATACCTGCCAAATAATTTCCTGTATGTATGATATTACGGTTCCTTAGAAATTGAAGAGACAACCACAGCGAGACACTGATAGAGTTAACTATCTGGAAAGGCAATATAGAGAAGAAATATACGTAATATGAAATTATCAACGGCAATTCAAGGATGCCGGCAACTCCAGAATAGTTTTTGCAGGGAAGAAAGAGAAGTTTGTTACAAGATATTTTGCATAAACCCTTAAGTGGTCCCCTATCAACCTATATAGCAACAGAAAGCAAAATTATAAAAATGACATTACGGATGGGCCTATGTATAACACAACCCATTATTTCTACCACTTCTTGCTGATCAGCCCACCATGAGCTCTGCTCACTCACAGCCCATTACCCACTTCCATCTACCAACATCAGAGTTCCTCAACTGGCCACGTGGCCACATCACTCACCCACCATCTAGACACCTGTCAGCATCACAAAGTCCCTGAGCCATTGAGGTGTCCGCTTCTCTCTCCTCTTTGACCCACGTTGTTCCTCTCTGTTCGGTTCTACTCTCTGCCCTTCATCTTCTATTTTATCTTCCATAGCCACTGAGTTCGTGGAATTAGTGTGATCCCTTGGAGGACCTGTCTGACCATGCGGAAGGCTCCTATCAATTCCCTCCCCCCTCGAAGACACAATCTTGTCCTCAAGATCGAAGTTTGGGAAGGCTTGGCAAAACTCAGAGTATGAGATCCAAGAGGCATCTTCCAACGGTAATCCCTCCCATTGCACTAAAAGTTGCAAAATTTCTTCATTTCCATGTTGTAAGGAACGGGTTCGGAGTACAGCTACTGGTTTGGTGACCGGATGGTTATCCCAACTCACGCGAGGAAGAGGGGCTGAGTGGAATGCTGGGTTCTGTCGGTATTGCTTGAGAAGCGATACATGGAAGACAGGATGGATTCGCGACTCCTCTGGAAGCTCCAATCGATAAGCCACCGGACCGATTCGCTCCGTGATGGGGAAGGGTCCATAAAAACGGCGTCTAAGTTTGGAGAAGGTATGGTTGCGCACGGATCTCTGTCGGTAAGGCTGTAATTTGACCAATACTAGAGTCCCAACTGTGAATTGTACATCTCTCCTCTTTTTATCTGCCTGATTCTTCATCCTCTGTCTTGTTTGGTGTAGAGTTTCCCTGAGTTTTCTGATTATCCCATCTCGCCGAGTCAACAAGGTGTCTACCGCCTCAACTGAGGATGTGGTGCCTTCATACAGTGGAATGGAGGGAGGAGCTCGCCCATACACAATCTGGAACGGTGAAGCCCCAATTGACGAATGGTATGCCGAATTATAAGAAAATTCAGCCCTGGGTAAATAGTGTACCCAGTGTTTAGGTGACTCCATGGTATAGCAGCGCAAATATTATTCTAATCCCTTGTTAGTGACTTCTGTCTGACCATCTGTTTCAGGGTGATTCGCGGTGCTGTAGCAGAGCTTGGTGCCACTCAAGCGAGCAAGCTCAGCCCAAAATTTACTCACGAAGATGCTATCTCTGTCTAACACAATTGAACGGGGAATTCCATGTAACCTGCAGATATTTTCTACAAAGACTGATGCGATCTTTGTTGCAGTGAAGTTGGGAGGTAAGGCCATGAAATGAGCGTACTTGGAGAGGCGGTCCACCACGACTAAAATGGCTGTTTTTCCTTCAGAATTGGGTAGTCCTATGATAAAATCCATGGACAATTCCTCCCATATAGCTAGAGGCACGGGTAAGGGTTGAAGCAATCCGGCTGGAGACAATGGTTGATACTTTGTCACCTGACAGATGGGACAGGTTCTGACAAATTCTTGGACATCTTTTTTTAGGTTGGTCCAGTAGTAGATGGGAAGTACCCTCTGCAGCGTTTTCTTCACACCTCTGTGGCCTCCAATTAAGGATGAGTGAAATTCATGCAAGATGGCAGTGTGAAGTTCTGAATTGGCAGCTATGGTAATCCTCCCTTTGAAGAGTATTAGTCCTTCCCTGAAACTGAAATTCTCATAGCCTTCAGTACCCTTTTTCAATTCTGTCCTTTAATTGTATTAACTCTGCACTGGATTGAACTTCTGTTTTGATTTGTTCAATCAGGTTGTTGTTGACCTTAGTGATGACCATGGCGCAAGCCTCTCCAGCTACTATTGAGGAATCATTCTCTGATTTTCTAGACAGGGCATCAGCCACCCTATTCACAGCCTGAGGGTAATATTCTATAGTATAATCAAAGCCAAGTAACTTAACCAGAAAACGCTGCTGTTCCGGGGTTTGGATTACTTGCCCCATCATGTCTTTAAGGCTCCTCTGGTCGGTTCTGATAACAAAAGGTCCCCCTAGGAGATACCGTCTCCATTTAGAAACCCCTTCCGTGATTGCAAACATCTCTCTCACATAGGTAGAAGCTTGTTGCATTTTAGGGTTGAGCTTTTTACTGAAATAAGCAATTGGTCGATTGTCTTGACTTAACACAGCTCCCACCCCAATCCCTGAAGCATCAGTGGTCAACACAAATACCTTTGTAAAATCTGGTAGTGCTAAGATAGGTGGGTTGGATAAGGCTTGCTTAAGCTCGAACATAGCCTGTTTGGCCTTCTCATTCCAATGGAAGGCATCCTTATGTAACAAAGCAGTCAATGGTGCTGCAATTTGGGAAAACCCGCGAACGAATTTGCGGTAGTAGCCTGCCAAGCCAAGAAACCCGCGTAGTTGCTTTAGGTTAGATGGTCTTCCCCAATCCATAATGGCCTGAATTTTCCCTACATCTGGTCTTACCCCTTTTGCATCAACTATATGGCCTAAATAGTCCACTTCCTCCTGGCCAAATGCACATTTCGACCTCTTAGCATATAACTGATGTTGCCTAAGACAGTCCATAACCAATTTTAAGTGCTCCACGTGTTCCCAAACTGATTTACTATATATAAGTATGTCATCAAAGAACACTATAACGAACTTGCGCAGATATTCCTTCAAAATTGAGTTCATAATACCTTGAAAGGTGGCAGGAGCATTGGTGAGCCCGAAGGGCATCACTATGAACTCGTAGTGTCCTTGGTGAGTCCTAAAGGCTGTTTTATAAACATCCTCAGGAGCCATTCTGATTTGATGGTAACCGGAGCGTAGGTCCATCTTTGAAAAGATTACTGCCCCTGCTAATTCATCTAACATTTCATCCACAGTAGGAATTGGGAACCGGTTCGGTATGGTAACTTGGTTCAGTGCTCTATAATCTACACAGAATCTCCAAGTTCCATCCTTCTTCTTTACTAACAGAGCTGGTGATGAGAAAAGGACTCAGGCTTGGTCTGATAACACCAGTATTAAGCATTTCCTTTACCATTTTTTCAATTTCTGTCTTTTGAAAATAAGGATATCTGTAGGGTCTAACATTCACTGCCTTTGTGCCAGGTTCAAGATAGATTCGGTGATCTTCTAGTCTGGAGGGAGGTAACTGGTTGGGAGTAGCAAAGATATCCTCGTATTCTTGCAACACTGGTTGTATCAGGGAATGGCAAGCTTCCTCAATGTAAGGTTCGATTGAGTGCTGATGATCAATGGTTTGTAATTGGAAATAAGTGGCTACAGCATCAGAATTACTTAGCCTACGGAGTTGATGAAGTTCAATGGGTTCTACTTGCACCTTGGTCTCCCCTTTCAACTCAATCACCCGCCCTTCCCTTTCAAACTTCAGGACCAATTGCTTGTAGTTAGTGGTCACATCTCCAAATTCAGACAACCATTGTACCCCCAACACTACCTCAGCATCCTGTATAGGTAGTACAAACAGATCTGGACAGAATTTATATCCTTGTAATTCCAGCCCTACTCGTCTACAAACCCCTTTACACCCTAGACTGGCCTCATTGCCTACCATCACCTTAAACTGCCCAATGGGTTGCACCTCCAAGCCAAGGAACTTGACTATCCTTTCTTGGACAAAGTTATGAGTGGAACCCTCATCCACCAATACCTGGACCGAATGCTTATTGATCAGTCCCTTCAACCGCAAGGTGCTAGATGAATATTGGCCATCCATAGCATGTAAACTGATGCCAGGTATGTCATCCTCACCCCCAATTGTCTCATTTGTGGCTTCTATCACTTCATCTTTCTCTTCTTCCTCATTTTCTTGAATAAGTAATAAGAACATCTTTCCCTTGCATACATGGTTTCGGTGGAATTTGTCATCACAATAATAACATAGCCCCTTCTCTCTTTTCTCCATCATTTCAGCTGCTGACAAGCGCTTAATTGGCAGGATATCTTTCGAGGTTCCAGTTGTGTTGACCGTACCTTTGTTTGGAGTTGGTAACAAGCCTGGCTGCTGTTTAGTGGTTTGGTTGTTGGTGAAATTTCTCTGGTATCCCGATCTTGCAGGGATTCGGTCATTGAACTTGTCTTCCACCACCTTAGCCAATTCGATGGCATTCTGCAAGGAGTCAGGGAGGTGCATTCGAACCTCTTTCCGTATTTCAGACTTGAGCCCATTCTCAAAATAGCTCTGCAAGGTAACATCATCTATCCCTATGATGAGATTGGATAACTGTTCAAACTCCTTCTGAAATTCTTCAACTGAAGCATGCTGTGTTAATCTTCCCAATTCGCCTCGGAGATCGCGATATTTGGATGGTCCGAATCGTGAACGCAGTGCTATCACAAAGGCGCCCCACGTTGATAACCGCTGGCTTCGTTCCATCCAATGGAACCAATTTTCAGCCACCCCATCCATCTGGAAGGACGTCAACGTCAGCTTATCCCCATCACTCAAATTGCGGAACCCATAGAATTGCTGAATCTTGTGGATCCATGGTTCGGGGTTCCCTCCTGCAAATCTAGGTACGGAGAATTTAACAGATTTATATGCGTTATTTCCCAAGAAAGTGTTTAGTCCTGATTCATTGCTGCTTCCACCCTTATGCTCAACTTTGCTTTTCTGATTCTGATCCAACTTGGCCTCCATTAATGTCAATTTTAGGTTCATGCTCTGGAGCAATTCCCCAAAGGCATTGAACTGTTCCTCGTGACGAGCAAGTTTGGTTACACATTCTTCCATCATATTTCTTTTTACTGTGGAGCAAGTTCCTTCCGCCATTTTTTTTGAGGAAGTTGTCTCTCAATGAAAAGAGCACCAAATGATAGAGTTAACTATCTGGAAAGGCAATATAGAGAAGAAATATACGTAATATGAAATTATCAACGGCAATTCAAGGATGCCGGCAACTCCAGAATAGTTTTTGCAGGGAAGAAGGAGAAGTTTGTTACAAGATATTTTGCATAAACCCTTAAGTGGTCCCCTATCAACCTATATAGCAACAGAAAGCAAAATTATAAAAATGACATTACGGATGGGCCTATGTATAACACAGCCCATTATTTCTATCACTTCTTGCTGATCAGCCCACCATGAGCTCTGCTCACTCACAGCCCATTACCCACTTCCATCTACCAACATCAGAGTTCCTCAACTGGCCACGTGGCCACATCACTCACCCACCATCTAGACACCTGTCAGCATCACAAAGTCCCTGAGCCATTGAGGTGTCTGCTTCTCTCTCCTCTTTGACCCACGTTGTTCCTCTCTGCCCTTCATCTTCTATTTTATCTTCCATAGCCACTGAGTTCGTGGATTCAGTGTGATCCCTTGGAGGACCTGTCTGACCATGCGGAAGGCTCCTATCAGACACTATACTACGTCGCGGCGGCGTTGGTTTGCTGGGATACTATGTCCTAATTTGGGGAAAACAGAGAACTGAATATATTTTTGTTAGGGTTAGGGTTAGGGCGGTCACGTCACGTGCTTCTTCAGCCTTCACATAACCGTTTCTATGGGCTTTTTTGTTAAATAGTTCTTCATCCATGATCCAATATTCATTTCTCTCTTCTCAATGCTTCACAGGCCAAAAAAAGTAGAGATCCATTTTTTTTTTGTATTTATATTTTTCTTTTAAAAAAATATCATTGTGAATATGAATATATGTTTTTAACAACACACACAACTGCAACAAATGAAATTAAACAAAAAAAATGAATTTTTAAAATTAAATAACACGACTACAACAGATGAATTATACAAATAATTATAATATTTGGTATGAACATTAAAGGATCAATCTGAGTGTCCTCCTCTATTAACCTTCTTATGATACTTATATATGGCCTAGTTAACTGTTACAAACAATCGTGGGTAGTTAACAAGGGTTCGATTATTGAGATTGTGGCATGGCCAATGTGTGATAATAAATCATGGGTTATGGCTCATATTTTGGTCTTCTATTCTGGATTTCACATATATGGATTGAAAACAAGCTGATTTACCTTATTCGGATATGAGCCTCGGTTATGCTTAATTAAGCCCAAGTTACAAATCGGAACAAATAATAATAATAATTTACTATTAAATAAGATTAAGATGAGATCCTAATGAAACTATTCCTAATGCGGTTATTTCTAATAGAGCCCAGCGTTTACCAAATAAGAGGTTTTGCAAAAAAATAAAAAAAAATAAAAATCCTTCTAAAATACATGAAACCACCTTATACTTTAACGCTTTTTCAAAAAAGCATAATGTACTATCAATTCATATAATTAACCTCTTATCCTATCGCATTATAACAATAAAACTTAGGTTGGAAAAAAAAATTGTTTTTCAATTCAAAAATAGTTAAAATTCTAGAGTTGAATCAACTCAAAATAGCACCAAACACAAGAAAAAAGCATACCTATATCACGAAATTGGATGACAAAAAGCGAGATGGGAAAAGTAGAACATGAAGTAGGCGAGTTTTCTGGAAAAAGTTAAAATTGATGTTACTAGTCTTGTAACGAACAACAACAGGAGTGCCAAACGATGGTGTCTGGATTAGAATGGCAGACATGGCCTGGGTTGGCATCGATGGGGGCGAGTGGTTGCAGGAGACATGAACTCAGGCACGAATTTTCATAGCAGTTTTTTTTTTTTTTTTTGTTACAGATTCAATATTTAAAATGTTTAGTAATTTTTGTTGGGCTTCCTCCTTCAATGCTAAGTCCAAACCCATTTGAGGGATTTTCTAAAAACCCTAACCCTAATTTCCACCTCTTCTATATATACTAATTAGTTATGGGTGGAGGCTAGGTCAGATTGAGAGAACAAATTTGAGAGAAAAATTATTTGATTGTTTGAGCAAAGCTTTATGCTTTGCATTTGAGAGATCTCTAGAGAGAGTTTGAGTGAAACATCTCTAGGGTAGTTTGATTATCACCATTGTTGGAGAGATTGAGTTAACCACCACATTGCTGTATTTGATTCTTTGTAATCATTATTTTCATAGTGGATTTTTGATCTGGACTAGATCCAATGGGTTTTTACTTCTTCATTGAAGAAGATTTTCCCACGTTAAATCCGGTTGTGTTCTTCTTCTCTCTCCTGTTTTGTGATTTTTCGTTTTGTTTTTCTGCTGCGCTACCCGACCTGGTGAAGTTCAGGTCGAGGTATTGCCGAGATCCGAGATCAGGATCTTGTTGATTGACTTCCGCACAAAGGCCCCTTAGCCGATCTGAGGGAACCGATTTTTCCAATAGTGGTATCAGAGCCCGAGTTTGACGGGTTCTGAGGGAGACGAGATGGAGACTAGTGGCATAACCAATGATGGAGACATGTTCAAGTTGACCGCAGATAACTTCACTTATTGGAGACCGATGATGGAAGATCATCTCTACTGCAAAGATCTACATGAGCCCATTATCCTTGATGAGAGACCGGCAGGAAAAACTGATAAGGAGTGGGAGATCCTGAGTCGGAAGGCGGTAGCCACGATCAGGAAATATATTGATAAAAGTCTCTTTGAGCACGTGTCCGAGTTCACGAACGCGTATGAGTTGTGGACGAAGTTGGAGTCCATGATTCAGAAGAAGACTCCCAGGAATAAAGCATACCTGGTTCGCCGACTTGTGAAGCTTGAATACAAGGACGACATGAGCATGATTGAACACCTCAACACCTATAAAGGTATTGTGAATCAGCTGTCAAAAGCTGAGATGAAAATTGATGATGAGATGCAGGCTTTGCTGCTGTTGAGCTCGCTGCCAGAAAGCTGGGATACTCTGGTGGTGACTTTGAGTAATTCAGCTCCAGAAGGAAAGTTGAAGATGGATGTCGTGACAGACAGCCTCCTGAGCGAAGAAGTCAGGAGAAGAGAACGAGGTGTTTCAAGCACGTCTGAGGCCAACGTTGCTGAGAACAAAGGAAAGTCCGACTCCCGGGGTAGAAGCAAAAGCCGGGGTAGAGGTCGTGACAGACGAGAACAGTCCAGAGGTCGGTCAAAGCCGAAATATGAGTTGAAGTGCTTTTACTGTGGAAAGACAGGCCATAAGAAGCCAGACTGCTGGACCCTGCAGAATGATGAGAAGAACGGCTATGAGAAGTCGGATCAGATTATTCCCAAGAAGAGGGAAGACAAGAATGATGTGATACTTCTTTACAACTCATACTTGAATAGTTACAAGAATACTTGAATAGTTACAAGAGGTTGGCAGCAAGATTATCAGCTACACGGGAATCAGGTGAATCTAACTCTTCGAGCTTAGAAAAAATATCCATGTCCTTGTTCCTCTATATGTTCTTGAGGAGGAGGAAGAAGTTGACAGATCTTCCTCACCATTTTGCAACCACTGCTTGTGTCCAGGTATGTTCTCATGTCTTAATCTTTGTTAATTAAATTTAGATATATTTCTTTGCAATTTTGTGCTTTCTTTTTACACTCTTGATTCATTGTAATTGTACAAGTTTAAAAAAATAGTTCACTATAAGTCTATAACAATTAAAACTTGCATATCATGCTATTGACTAAGATTTAATAAGTGGTTCGTGAAAATGGGACAAATTAATTAGTTCTTTCAAGGATCTTGAAAATGATTCGCTGGAAATTTTATTTTTAATTATGATTTAGTTCTTTCTTTTAAAAACTGAAATGTATTATGTAGAATGAGACTAATGTCTGTTTTATTTGGTTTATGATTCGCAGGCTGGAGTGGCCATTTCATCTCAAGAATAAGAGAACATTTCATAATCCCACCCTACAAAGAGTGGCAAAAGCCCTTGCAAGAATTAGAAGACAATTGTCATCTCTTGCATGAGGTTATTCACATAAATGGTTATTGATGTTGGAGGTTATGAGTTTGAGAGATAAAAAAGTTTAGAAGTGCTTAAAGTATTACATCAAGAGATATCATATTTGGAATACTTAATAGTGCTACCTTCAGTTCTGAGAAAATCCTAAAGATAATGCAAGTTATTGACCTCTAGCCTATATGGATCCAAATGACCATATTTTTATCTATTGAACTAATATGTGCAAATATTATTAGACTATATTATTAATATAACCAACAACGTACATTTGCTTTCTGTTTATAGAGATCATGGATCTCTAGGACAGGATATGTGTCAACCTTCACGCAAGGTAATCTTGAATATAATTGTGATTTCATTTTGCGAACTTCAAGAGTCAATGTTTATATGATTTTTTTTCTTATTTCATCTCAGGCTCCAATAGCTAAGATTAGTATAAAAAATTATGTTGCTCCTTCTTTAAATGGAAATTAAGGATATACAATACGACCTTTAGGAATGTAGTGAGTAACTGAAAGCTTACAAAAAAAATATAGCTAAGGCGACTGTCAGGGAATTGAAGGAGAACATAGCTCTTAAACTAGATTATGTTTGGATGACGATGTTAGAGTTGAGAGATGCAATTTTGAATGAGTTTCATAATACAGGATTAGATAATCATGTGTTATTCCGACTAGACAAAGTGATAGTTGAAAGTCACTTGATTAGTCGGCGGAAGAATCCATGGACGAGATTTAATGTATGAGTACACCATTCAAGAGTTGGGCGAGGGGTCTTCTGAAGTGGGGCGTGTGACAATTACTTCTATGGATTGTGGGATAGATTCATCAGTGTTTTGCCAACAAACTTCTATCATAAGGCAACTCATCAAGTATCAACTTATTATTTACATCAAGAATAGATTCATCGGTAGCACAAGGTATTGTGGGATAATTAGAGAGACTTTTTCCGTTACTTTGTAAGCAAGTTCCAATTTCAGCAATAGTAACGTTTTTAATCTCTTCATCAGTCATTACCAAATCTGTAGAGAATCATGCATGCAAATATAAAAAAAAAAATAGATAAAGATATTCAATTACGTACATTTGCTTTCTGTTAGAAATTTCTAACAACTTTCCCATATAAATTTAGGTCTATTCATATTGTTGCAAAACATTAACAAAGCAAAGAGTCTTTTAAGATAATGTCCTGATGCCCAAAAGCTTGATTCTTTAATTCTAAGATCCATTTGAAAATTTTAAGAATCCATTAAAAATATTTGAATTATAAGAAGGGAAAAATGTTTCTGCAGTTAATGCAGATAAGTTATTTGCATTTATTCTCAAAACGACATCGTTTTGGTATTGAAATCTTAAGAAATTATAAATATAAAGACTATTATAACCCTGAAATAAATTAAAATTACAAAAACACCATGACTTCTGTCCCAAAATGACATCGTATTGACTTACTGCAGATAAGTTATCTGTAATAACTGCAGAAAAAGCAAACCCTTATAAGAATGAGTCTTAATTAACCACATAGTTGGACTAAAGAATTAAAACTTGTGAAGATATCTGAGATGTCAATTCGCCTCAAAGAGATAATTAGAATAAGTATAAAAAAACATATGTAACCCAAAAAAAAACTGAAATTAAGATAAAGTGATTGAAGAATAAAAAAGTAATTATTAATTAGTCGAGCGCATAGAGGATTATTTTGATACCCAAATTCATAGTATTCACTATGCGCACAATTTAAAAATAATTTATAATATGCAATAATATCTTGCATTTATAAGATTGATTACGTAAATTGAACTTTGCCCAATAATGATAACATCTTGTATTTTTCTTGTTACATATGATAAATTTATCTCTAGCAATCTTAAAAGTATATCATTTTAAGAATTTGAGAATTAATGAAGAATATTTTGATAAAATTCATATAAAAATAAATAAATAAAATTTCAAAATTATCCTTCGCTGATTCTCTCACTCCAGAAACTACATAAGTTGTAGAGGTAGAAGAAACATCTTTCCTATAATAATATAGTAAATATATATTTTTTAAAAAGGTATTTTTAGGATGGAAAAATATTTTTTCATATTGGACGATTGTTATTTTCTTCAACCATCATTCAAATTTCCGTACAATTTGTTTTTCAGTTTTTTAATAGATATAGATCTCACACAATATATGTCTATAGCATGACATATCTATATGAGAAAATTGAAATACTTTTAGGGTGTTTGGTTGAGGAGAAATTTTTTGAATACTAGAAAAATATAATTACTAGGGAAATGGTTGGAAAATGAGTTTGGTAGGAAAATGTAAAAAAAGTTGTTTGGTTGACCGAAATATTACCCGAGGAATTTATTTAAATTTGCAAAATCTATGTTCGAGAGAAACTTCGCACCTGTTTTTTCGCTTCCCCAATTATCTCAAAATACCACATCTCAAGTGGTATTCTGTAACAGTGAATTCCATCCAAAAATCAACACAAAAGTCATTTCCCCATCTATCCCATTTGCCTAGTATTTTTTTGAAAAAACCTGAACCAAATGTGGTATTTTCCAATATCCACTTACACTTTCCCATCAATCTCAAAATAATCCTTCAACCAAACACTACCTAGGATTGATTGTAATTTTTTTTTTTAGTAAATTGTTATTATTCAATTAAAAATACAAAGGATATAAGAGGAATAACATGAGCTTCGATGTCACATAATTGAAACAAAGGAGCTACAGTTGTTGTTGGTGCAGAGGAATAACACATGACGTCTCTGTTGTCTTGTCCTTTCTTCACAGTTCATAATCCCTTCACTGTCTTCAATTCAACTTTAGGTTCATCTTTCTGTTTCATCAACCACTTTCCTTGCACTATCACAGACATAACCAATTTGTTTTCCCTTTGTTCACAGAGATAAGGAGAACAGGCCTTGCCCCAAACCTTAATTCCATGTCTTCACTTCATTCTGAGAAGACCCATTTGAGGAATAACCAATGTACCACAATGGCTTCTTCTTCTTCTTCGACATTGTTGGAGGACAAGGGTAAAAGATCCAAGAGAGTGTGGATATGGACCAAGAACAAGCAAGTCATGACTGCAGCAGTTGAGAGAGGATGGAATACTTTGATGTTTTCTTCACACCATCAACAACTTGCACATGATTGGTCATGTAAGTCATCTCCCTTTTCCTTTTTTATTCTCTAACTTTTTCATTTGGAAGGAATTTCTAATGCCCATTTGTTGTTTTTTTCTTTTCTTTTTGAGTTCTCATTTGATCCAATGTGTTAGCATATTGTATAATTTGTTATTCTGTTCATCATTTGATCCATTTGTTGTTTTGTTAACCTAATTAGCGTAGTTAAATATTTACAATACTCAATGTCATTATTAGTACTTAAGTCTACTTTTCTTTTCCCTGTATTTACCCTTGTATAGAGTATAAATAAGTGTAGCATCTTGTATTTTATACATACTGATAATAATATTCACATACCCTTTCCGTCTTTCTCTATAATTGTCATTGTTAATACATGATTGGATAACGACGGACTAATTTTTTGTACTTAGTGGATCAAAATTAAATCCTTTTTTTTTTTTGGTATTGTTCCACTTGCTATTCTAATGTTAACCATAAGATGACCATAATTGTTCTGTACATAAATATCTGTGGTGATGAGTAAAATGGTGTTTGTGTTATGTTGGTAGCATCTCTAATTTTGTAAATTGGAATTTTGGCCCTGATTGAGTACAGCCATTACGTTGATATGCCCTCTTTTTGTTGGTGAGGGGGAGATTTTGGATGGACAGAATAAAAGGGTAGCCACAATTTTTGACATTTCAACTCCAGAAGAACTAGAGCGACTTAGACCTGAGGATGAGCTGGCAGAGAACATTGTAGTTAATTTACTAGATTGGCAGGTATGCTCGTTGCAAACTGCTATACAAGAATTGTGATTGCATAGTTTGCATGCATGTCATCCAGTGATTATTATGTGTATAGTTTATTAACCAATTTGCTCTGCAGGAAGATAAGATAAACTTGTTTTCCAAGTGTGAAATATGAAACGACTTGTCCTGCAAAAACTTATATTGGTGGGAACCAGGAGTTGTTGCATGTTTGTGCTAGTTCTGGCTCTTGGTTTCATTATAGAAGTGTGACTAGGCTACAAAATATCAGTTGCAACCAGTAACTTGTTGAAAATGTGTTGTGTAACTTCAGCCAGTTCAGTTTTCTATGAAATTGGTGTGATTGATTGCCTTTCAAATATGCTTTGATTCTTTGATTAATTTATGGGTATTATTATTATATCTCCTACCCTTTATATGGAAGGTTTTCTGTCTCTGTGTCTTATGCAGTTGTACCATGTAGCTCTTAATGACTTTGACAATTAGCATTGCATGTTTTCTGCATAACCTCGAAAACATTTCTTTTTCTTGCTTGATCTTGTCTGACTTCAATTTGCTGCACCAAAAGCTTGGACTGTCTTTTAAAATAACCACTCCCAATTAAACCACGACTAGCTATGGTATGGGTAAGAATAATTCTTGTACGCAACCTTATCCTGACATAATTGCAAACAGACTATTTCCTGGATTGTCTTTTAAAAATGTAATAGTAAATTGTTTTCAATAATTGACATATATCATTTTTAATAACATATAAAATGTTAATTTTCACTGTATGCAATTGTGCAGGTGATACCTGCAGAAAATATAATTGCTGCATTTCAAAGCAGCCAAAAGACCGTGCTTGCGATATCTGAAAATGCATCAGAGGCTCAGATGTTTCTTGAGGTATATAATGGGAGACTAATGAACTAGACTTTTCGTAGTCGAAGCTCATTTAACTGTATGTAATAGTTCTCTTTTACTTTAAGCTTTAACTCTCTCCTTACGGTTGAACCCTTTGGATTTTGTAGGCACTTGAACAAGGTCTAGATGGCATAGTTTTGAAAGTAGAAGATGTTGAACCTGTTCTCAAGATAAAGGTATTCTCTAACCTAGTTGAAGCTTCTTGAGTATTGAGGCTTGACCTCTTATTTCAGTTGAAAATTCTTAGGAGTATTTTGACAGAAGAATGGAAGAAAGCAATCTACTGAGCTTGACCAAAGCCACTGTGACACATGTTGAAGTGGCTGGAATGGGGGATCGTGTTTGTGTAGATCTCTGCAGTCTCATGAGACCTGGTGAAGGACTTCTTGTATGTATACATTTCCTCTGGAAAGGTTAAATTATTTCTTGGCTAATCTAGCGAAGCTTCCATTCTTATTGGCCAAGCATTTTCAACAGGTTGGATCTTTTGCCAGAAGATTATTTCTTGTTCATTCAGAATGCTTGGAGTCAAATTACATTGCAAGCAGGCCTTTTCGTGTGAATGCCTTAAGTTGTGCATTCAAATCTTGAGCTTAAAGTTAATATATTCATTGCCTTTGACCTTGGATAAAATTACCTCTCTTATCATCACAATTCACAACAATGGGGTCACAGTGTGAGACCAATAGTAAAAAATTGCTCTTAAAAAGGTGTCGTGATGATGTTAATCCAATACAGAACACTGAATCTACTATTTTGTACACTTATATGTAAAAGTTATCCAACATTAATCTCAAATAATTTTAAAGATTTGACAACATTTGAAATCATTATACAATATATTTTATGCTATTTCATGTAAAAAAAATTTACTAATAGGGAAACTAATAGTTTTCCTTTTATTGTTTATTTTTCTAAATTCTATTTTGCTGTGCAGTTCATCAGGATTCATTTACCTTTCAAAGCAGACTTTGCTATTGATTTTTTTTTCCTTTTATTTTTTGTGAATGTTGAATGTAATTTACATGTTCAAGAAGTAGTGTCAGCATAGATTGGGAGATCAATGAACCTGTCATTTGAACGCTGAAACTGTTCCTTACCTCTCATGTCTCATTTTGTTAGTTTAATTCTACCTATCTAGTATGTACATTTTTGGAAGATGAAAGTTTTATGTTTTCACTATTTTTCCTTCTTTCTTTCTTTCTTTTTATTCAAAATGTTTTGGAATTTCTAGTATAAGAATTAATTATGCAGTCAAGAGAAGTTGTGTGAATCCTTTTAATCAATTACTTATCATAACAGGGACCAGTGCATGCTTATGTTGCTGTTCCAGGAGGAAGAACATGCTATATGTCAGAATTAAAATCAGGAAAAGAAGTGATTGTGGTTGATCAGCAGGGTCGGCAACGAATTGCAATTGTTGGGCGTGTAAAGATAGAAACTAGACCTCTAATCCTTATGGAGGCAAAGGTTTGTGTATGCATTAGTAGCAAACTTGATTGAAAAAAAGCGTTTCTTAATGTTTTTTTAACTTTAATGAGGTTGTTATGGTACATTTGCTGTGGAATATCATGCTAAACTAATAAATATATTCTTAAAAGTTGTCAACATCTTTACTATATACAGTGAGATTAGAACATCTCTTAGGGGGTGTTTGGAAACTTCTAAAAACTAGATATCTAAGTGCAGTTGTCCAGTTTTTAGATATAAGGTGTTTGGTAACTACTCAAAGTCTTAAAAAATGGTTCTTATGGAAGCCAATTTTGAGATAAAACTAGTTCTTAAAATAACCACTTCCAAGTTGATTTTCTTCCTAATCCAACATTTTCCATAGTCTTTCTCTTCGTTTAATTGTCCTTTTCTCTCTCCTTAAGCTAGATCTAAGGATTGTTATTGGTACAATATAACTGTAGAACCACTTATTCATTCAATGTTCAATATGCATGCTAAGTTTTTTGAATTTAAATAAATATTGAAAATAAATTGGATAAGAACTAGTTTAGAACAAAATTTAACAGAACTAAGTTTAAGTTAAAACTAGTTACAAAATTATCTGAATTTATATTATTAGTTTATAGAGTTGCCAAACTGCCCCTTATTTAGCACTTGCAGTAAAATCAAGGTGCTATAATGTAGTATTTCATGGTATCATCCTAAAGTTTTTAATTATCAGTAGCCTGTTTATGAAAAAAAATAAAATAAAAATTTATCAGTTGCCTATTTTAAATTGCACCATTAATCTACAATATTACTTTCTTGGCCATAAGATTTATTTTGCATATAGATTTGAAAACAAACTGCCATTTCAAATAGCATTTGATAATTTCTTTATACTAGCTATTTTTGCCATTAACGAAATAAATGTATTCTGTTACCGTGAGTTTCTCGCTCAATGCCGCCATCAATAAAAATATGAAAAAGCCTTAACTAATGTACATTATAATTTAACTTTGAATGTGAAAGCTGCATTTAATGCTGTCTTTCTTTTGGGAAATATGTAATGTATACAACCATCATTCATTCATATCAGATAGACCTATCATATGAAAATTCAGTAGTTGAAGATACAACAAAAATTGTGTATATAGTTGAACCTGAAACATTCTTTCTCGTACTAAATTGGTCAAAATGTTATTATGGCTGTATTTTGAGTTTTCTTCATGACAACTTCATGATTATAGAACTTCTTTAATATGGACTAACATTGGAATGAGGGTGAAGATAAAAGTTCAAACATCAGGAATTAATGAAGAGCCACATGTTTGTTTTAATCCTTACCATGAATATTAATTGTTACAAGGGTTTCAGAAACTTAAGGTAATTTAGAGCATGATAATTGTAATATAGAATAACTGGTTAGATAGAGTTATCTAGTTCCTTTTGCTTATCTCGTGGAATGGGTATTAGCTGTGTCATTTAATTGTCTTTAGCAATATTTCTGTTGAGATATACAAAAACATTAATGTATCCTCACCCAACAGCTTAAGCTTTTGGGTTGAATTGGTTCATTACATGAGATCAGAGCCTCAGTGTCACGGGTTCGATCCTCACCGCCCCCCACTTTCTTCTTTCTAGTGGAATTTCTTTCTTCGCATAGGTAAGTGGGTCTGTGCATTGTCCACCCTTCAAGTCTAGTGGACTCTCGTGTGAGGGAGCATGTTGAGATATATAAAACCATTAATGTATCCTCACCCAACAGCTTAAGCTTTTGGGTTGAATTGGTTCATTACAATTTCAAATTATGTTTGAGCTTTGTGTGGCAACAAAGAACAAAAAAATTCATTTTGTGTTACGTGAAAACTAAAATTTTATCAGTACTTTGGGTTTTATTGCTGTTTTCTGTTACTGTTCTGAAAACTCTGATTTGGAAGTAGTAATTATGATTTCAGAGTGACTCGGATAATCAAACGATCAGCATACTTTTGCAGAATGCAGAAACAGTTGCCTTGGTTTGTCCCCCACAAGGTAATTCAGTCTTTTTTTCTTTTTCCTGGTAGATTCTTGAGTTTCCTAAAGTATTGTTTGTTACTCTATTCAGGAAATACACTGTTAAAAACAGCTATTCATGTTACCTCACTAAAAGTTGGAGATGAAGTTCTGTTGAGACTACAAGGAGGGGCTAGGCATACAGGAATAGAGATTCAAGAATTCATAGTTGAGAAATGAACAAATAATGATGATGTATTCAAATTATGATTTTCATTCAATTTGTGAACTTATGTTCTCCTTACAGCTATGATGCTAGAATTGATCATGATGTGGCAAAGAGAAATGGAAAGGGGCAACTTATATTTTGTTCTACACAATGACATTGAAGCTGTGGAATTGGGTTGGATTAAGAGGGTACAGCACATGCCTTCTCATATCTTCATCAAGATTGCACTTCAGCAATTATTCAGAGATGTTAGTATAGCCACCAAGTGCTTGCTAGTCTAAACATCATGATTGAACCCAAATTATATATAGTTCTTGGGAAGTGTGAACTAAGCGTTTGCTTTGGATACATCTAAATCAAACATGTTAAAAGTTTTCTCCAAAACTTAAAAATGGAAGCTTGTTTTTCTCTTCTTGGCATAGCTGGACTCCTAAATTAAATGTAGTTCCTCCAATAACGTTACTTGAATGCACTTTATGGATATATTGCAGCAGGTGAGCTTTTGTTATGCCAATTGCTTCAGTTTTTATTTGTTTTTGCCACATAGGTAATCATTTTGTATGGTAAACAATTGAAAAAGTTTTTTTTTTTTTTCAGTTTACATTACACCCTAGACCTTCTGTTGTTGTTTGATGACATAACGAAAATGAATAGCCAAAGTGGCTTGGAGAAACTATGACTTGCGAATATTAACTATGGATCATCAGCGAGAATATTAACTGGTTCAAGTTTAGTGGTCTTGATATTGATTTTGCTCTTTGTAAGTTCTAAAAAGTCTTGCAAGCAATTAAACTTGTCACCTATAATAGGAATTAAAAGGATGTAACAAGAAAACAATTTAGCATTCATCCAACTCATTGCTTCTCAATGAATAACATTTACATTAATTGTTAATAAGCCCTATATAAATGCTGATCTAAGAGGGGAGAAGAAAAAGAAAAAGAAAGATAATTTAAGTTTTGGCTTTAAAACCAATCTTAAAATGAAGTCAATATTATTTCTTTCTTTTCTTTTTCCTGTGTATACAGCAGTTTCTATACAGAATATAAACTCTAAGTTACTAAAAGAAATACAAAAGTATAAACAAAATTTACAATCCTTTATCTCAAGGAGGTGCATCACAAGGTTTGGGGTGGAGGAAGGGGATACTTCAAGTCGCAAGGGGAGGCTTGAAAGCGACTAGGGATGTTCCTTGAAGTTGAAGCAGTTCTCAAACCATACTTGTTAGCTCCATGGTTTGAGGGTCCTACATGGAAACCTTGAAGTGGGAGTTGAGAAGTAGAAGCCATGTTTTTGTAAGGAGGCAAAGACTTCAACACTCTAACAACTTCACTCATTAAGGGTCTTGTTTTTGGGTCTCCAACAAGGCAATGAGATGCCAACTTCATTACCATATATGCTCCCTTTTGTGAAAAATGAACTTGTAGTTTAGGGTCAATCAATTGGAAATAGTTTCTTTTGTTTAGCAGTGGCCTTGCCCATTCCACCAAGTGATGCTCCCCTCTGGGCCTTGTTTTGTCCATAGCTTTTTTCCCAGTCAACATTTCAAGTAGAACCACCCCAAAGCTATAGACATCACTCTTGGAAGTGAGATGTCCTGCAACAAGATACATCACATTAGGCACTTATATCTCTTAAAAAGATCTCAATCAATAATATAGAAGAAACTTGCATATCTAATTTATCATGTTAGTTAGTTGCATGGAAACTATAGAAATAACATTAATCACTATACTTTTTCAAGAAATCTTCATTTTCAAGATTCTTGATCTTTAATGGACTAGAAGCAATTCAAATTCAAGGATCACAACATTCTGATAACAAAATGAGATGAAAGAGAGAGGATGATCTATTATCTCTGACTATACTAACCTGTCATCACATACTCAGGGGCTGCATAGCCATATGTTCCCATAACTCGAGTTGAAACATGAGTTAAGTCTCCCTCTGGAGCATCTTTAGCAAGGCCAAAATCAGAAAGTTTTGCATTGTATTCCTGAAATAGAAAAGTGTTAAGGTGGAAGGAAAGTTGTGTGTTCAAAACTAGTATATATAGTGTATTTAACATTCCACTTACCCCATCCAATAGAATATTAGATGTTTTGAAGTCTCGAAATATCACTGGCCTCTCAGCTTCCTCATGCAGAAATGCAAGTCCCTTAGCAGCACCAAGCATAATTTTCATTCTGTGATTCCAAGGAAGGCACACAGATCCTGCAAATATATGACATTATTATTACTCATTCTCTAGTATATCTCTAGTATACAATCATTAACACAATCACTTTTTTCTTTCTCCATTCTGTAATAAATTCTAAAAAAAAAAAATTACTATAATAAAAATCTAAATGTTACATAAATTAAAAGAATATTATTGAAAGACATACTCTTAAACAAATGACTCTCCAAGCTTCCCCGAGGCATGAACTCATATACTAATAGCCTTTTATCATCCTCAATGCAATAACCAACCAATTTAACCAGATTTGGATGACGAAGTTCCCCAAGATAATTCACTTCCGCCTGCAATTATACATGAAACAGTGAACATATATTAAGTGATGTAAATCATAGAACTTTGCCAATCTATTTTATTTAGGGTTAATTATTTAGCATAATAACTTACAAGCCATTCCCTATGACCCTGAAGTCCATTCTGGTTATGAGTCTTCACAGCAACTGGAAGTGGTCTTGGTGAAGAGCTCTCATTCTCTTTGATCCAGCCTTTGTAGACACAACCAAATCCACCCTCGCCAAGCAAATTTTGAGGTTTGAAATTGCTTGTTGCCACCTTGAGCTCATAGAAGGAGAACTTGTGCAGATTGGAATAAGCACTTAGCTCCTCGCTTAAGCTTGAAGAGGATGTAGCAATTCCTTTTAACTTGGGAGATGATCTTGCTCTTCTTGGATTATTGTTTCTTGGGGATACATGAGAAGCAACTGGGTTCTCTCTAGTATTGGAATTGGTTATTGTTGATCTGGTTTCTTCTGATTTACAAGGATAAAAAAAAAGATATATGTTTAGAACATAATTGTGACACTTGAGAATGAGATTTAAGTATAAAGAGTCATGCCATCACAAAAAGTAACGGCTAAACAATTCCAATAAAAACAAACACTGCACCTATTATAAGTATATATGAAAAGCGAAATATTAATTAAAATTAAAAAAATGATGTAAACTCCAACAATAATAGTTAAACAAGGTATATGTAGAATACCATCTTTTTTCTTATCTCTACTAGAGGAGCCTTCTTCTTCAGCTTTAAACCGTAGAGCCATGCAACCTAACAAAAACCTTAGTTTCCACCAAAACCGCGAACTTTGTCCTTCAATATCTTTGTTGTTGTTGTTGTTGTTGTTTCTTCCAACGTTCACTCCACGAGGACTTGCCATTTCTTCAACTGATCAGAACCCTAAACAGTAGACATATAAACTTCAACACAAAAACTCAAATAGAAAAAATGAAAAGAAATGGTGAGTGCACTGAGTAGCAAAAACAATGACAGACATAGATATGAAAACTCTAAATGCAAAAACCAAAAGCAAAAAGAAAAAACAAATGTAGAACTATTCCAGAACCGAGAGAGGCTCATCATGAGAACATAAAATGAACAAACCCCACATGGGAAAATGGGGTTTGGAACAGTTAGATACATGAAAAAAAAGGACATGCAAGTATAGAAAGCAAGAAAAGCATCACCAGAGAGAGAGAGAGTGTTTGGAACAAGAACAAAGAGAGAACTGGGACAACTGAAAGCTATGGAAGCACTGAGAGATTGAATATGAGAAATGGGGTGAGTCCAATGAAGGCTAGAAGTGCGGTTTATATAGAGTATTGCCGCTATCACACTACAACACGTGACACTCACACACATAAGCAAGAGAAGATGTTGCATAGACCAATGTACCAGAAACAAACAAAACAAGACCCTTATTTTGGTGAAGAGAGAGAGAGAGAAAAAGAGAGGAAGGAATCAAGGGCAAAAATGAAAGATAAATGTGTATTATCAGTTATGCATGAAAAAGAGGAGGGAAAGAAAGAATAGAATGAATGTTCTGACACAGAGAGAGTACTGTATGTGAGAGAAAATAGACTAACGCTTAAAACAAACACATAAAAAATGAATGTTCTAATAGAGAGAGAATGGATTAACACTTAAAAAAACAAAAACAATGAGTTATGACAGACACAAAGAAAGAAAGAAAAGATAGATAGAGAAAGTGTGACTAAGTAAATGTGGCACAAAAAACCATACAAAGCAAACTGAAATCTGAGTTGGAATGTCATAAAATGCCAAAAAAAAAAACAATGAAAATTCAAGACCAGACACAGATTTAACGTTAAACATTAACTTATGTCATTATGATCAATAACTCATTGAATTGAAACATGAAGTTGAGATCACATTTTCAATCTTATTCTTCAAAATTAATCAAATGATAATTAAGGTGAAAATCATAATTATATTAAGGTCCTCAACTTCTTCTTTGACTTTGACTGTAGAAGAAATTTTATGCAATAATCAATTATAAATATATCTTACTGATAAAATATAATTATAATATTAAAATTATTTTTTTTTCCGTCGTATTAATCGACAGCCTTTTAAAGAAAGGAAAAAAACAAATTTAAAATTATAACTATATTTTATCGATAAAATATAATTATAATTGGTTGCTGCAAAACAATCTCTTTCTCACATTAAAAAAGAAATACATTTTCCTTAATATTATAAGCCCAATCTTTATCTATATCTATACGGGACATATTTAGTGAGATGAGTGAATCCTCAATTTAAGGTCAAAGCATAAATGCGTATAATTTTTTTAATAAAATTCAATGGTAACCTTTAATGTGAGATATAATATTCAATTAATATTCACTCCTCTCACTATCTCACAATAAATGTTCCTCTCATTAAATATGCCTCTTATATTTTTATACAATTATTTATCTATTTATTTATAATTTTATAATAATATTATAAAGAGAACTATCTCATTCAGTTACTATTTTATACTTTTCTAAAATGATGCAAAGCAAACTGAAATCACAAATGGAAGGTTAGTAAATGCCAAGAAAAATGTGAGGAGAGAGATAGCAGATGCTGCCAAACTAAACGTCATGAATTGGAAAGAAACTATCAACACTGAACAGCTTTAGTGCAGAGACACACAGAGGATAGAAACCCAGGTGATCCAAGTTAATCAGCCACATTAAAATCCACCTACATGTGTAATGAGATGAGTGAATCCTGGCAACTGAAACTTTATTTGAATATTTAAGATCAAAGCATAAATGCATGCGTATTATTTTTTAGTAAAATTTAATGGGTACTATTTATAAGTTTTTTTATAAACTTTTTCAAATTGCACTATGTACTTCTACTTCCGGAAGTAATAATTTAGTGTAGTTTCGGGAGTACATAATATAGTTTGTAAACAAAAAATTTGTAAATAATACTCTTCTTAATTTAACTTTAAATTTAACTTTAACTTTCAATATAACATTTACTATTCAATATTCACTGATCATCTCACTATCTTATAATAAATGTTCCTTTGACTAAATATGTCTATTATATTTCTATACTATTATTTACCTATTTATTTATACTTTTATATTAATACTATAAAGGAAATTTTCTATTCAGTTAAATTTACTTTTCTCAAAATATTATTATTTTTTAATTAAATGTAAATATTAAAAATATTTTTAAAAAGTTATAAATGTTTCTTATTTTATTATTGTAACTCCAAACCAACTCTTCCTATTTTTCAGACAGAAGACATAATAAATAAACTAAAATTTAAAACAAATAAAAACGGTTTGTATTCACTTTTGTTTAAAAAAATTCAAAGTGATTCTTAATTAATTTATTCATATACTTCCAAATGAGATCAATGAAAATTATTATAATAATGATAGCAATAGGTCATTCTACTTTCCTCATTTTCTAAATTCTTTTCTCTCTTTCTTCATTTCTCTTTCTCATTCTATTACTTCCACACTATTCAGTTTCACTAAAAAGTCTGTAAACAAGAAAAGGATCACGACAAATTAAAGTATTTTAACTCAGAAAATATAAAATTATTTAAAAGCAATGTAGGGTATGTTTGTTTTGGTTTCTGATGGTGTCAAAAACTCAGTTTTATTTTTCTCACATCATTTTGTATAGTAAGTGCAAATATTTCACAATTCTTAATGTGACAAAATCATTTTTTTTTTAAAAGCCCACAAGGTATTTTGGGTGTGACATTAATTTCGGCTCGAGCCTAAAGGTACTATTTCCAATGAGGTTTGAATCTCTAAGTCTACTGACATGGAATTTAAGTGAATAAGACCTAGCAATTCAAAATAATTTTGCATGTAAATTATGATTTCTTTAATTATATGTAAAACTTAGATTGTTTTAATGAAATATAAGTATATAACTTTATGATGAAAGTAAATTATATTATATTTTTGAAAAAAACCAAAACAAATCATACTATATTTTTTTTTGATAAACAATCATACTATAATTTTATTTGCGTATAACTCTTATTTAATAAAATTTAATTTTAACCTTCAATGTGAGATATAATATTCAATAATATTCACTTCTCTCACTATCTCACAATAAATGTTCCTCTCATTAAATATGCCTCTTATATGTCTATACAATTATTTATCTATTTATTTATATTTTTTAATAATATATATGCGAGAACTCCCTCAATCAGTTACAATTTCATTTATCTCAAAAAATATGCAAAGCAAACTGAAATCTGAAATGGAAGGTTAGTGAATGCCAAGAAAAAAGTGAAGAGAGATACAGCAGATACTACCAAAATGGACGTCATGAATAGGAAAGAAATTAACTCCTAACGTAACACTGAACATTTTACTGCAGCGACACACAGAGGATAGAAACTTAGGTGATCCAAGTTAATTAGGCACACTAACATCCACGTACATGTGTAATGAGATGAGTGAATCCTGGCAATTGAAATTTAATATGAATATTTAAACCAAAAAAAAATACATGTGTATTGCTTTTTAGTAAAATTTAATTTTAACCTTCAATGTAGCAATTATTATTCAATACTGGCTCCTCTCACTATCTTTGGTGTGAGGTATAAGACCTGATAGTATAAGCTTATACTATACGTAATGATATTTTCAGTTGTTTAGTGTGACCAACATATAGTATAACTTTATACAGCATGACCCCTTTATACATCAAAATGATATATAACTTAATCCGACCTAGGAGTGGTGGATTAGGCCTGATAAGGGATTGATGAATTAATATTGCTTACAAGTACAATTCTCAAGAACTAATATATCGTTTCAATATTTATATATTAAAAAAAAAATTAATATATTAATTTTTAAAATATTAGAGGATATTATCTTATACAATATCATACCAAACGCTGGACAGTATTAAAATTTAACCAGGTCTTATAAAATCAGGTCTTATACTATCAGGCCTTATTCTATACTATGCACCAAACATGCCCTAAGTGTTCTTCCACTAAATATGTCTTTACTATTATTTATAATTTTTATATTAATATTATAAAGGAAAGTCTCTCTTCAGTTACAACTTTAATTTTCTAAATATATTATTATTATTTAGTTAAATTTAAATATTTAATAAAGTTATAAGTTTCTCTTATTTTATAGTTGTAACTGCTTTCAGTTTTGTTTGAAACTTTGTAGTTATATAAAAAATTTATTATTACTTATATATTTTTAATTTTAACTTAAAAATGTGAATTGTGGGACATACTCACATCACAATACATTGTTTCTTTTCTGTATTTTTTATTTTATTTTCACGACTCAAACTTAAGAGTTAAATAAAACAAGAGAAGTATAGGCAGGGGTGGACCCAGGGGGTGCTAGGGTAGGCGGTCGCCCCCCTCAAAATTCGAAAAATAAATTTAACATAAGTATAATGCAAGAAAGCTCCATTTTTTTCTCTCCATTAATGTGAAGTTGTGTTCTCCCACCGCAAAAAATTTATAGAGCTTATTTATATTCTCAGGTCCTATATCTATTGAAACCCCTCTAACTCTGATGGCAGTTTCAACTTGAAACTTACAGTCTCAACTTGTATTATGCTTAGATGTTAGCACAAATCTTCCCATCCATGAATAAAAATAAGAAGTCCGAGAGTCGACTTATGAAAGAATGAACCTTATTCTTTTGATCCCTCTTCTTTTCTGATGATTCGTGACAGAGAGGGAAGTGAGGGGCAAAAGGGTTTTGGTGATTGTGCTTCTTGGCAATCTGTCTCTTCTAATTTATCTTTGGTTTTTTTTTTCTTGTTGGGCTAACAATAAGTGAATAGAAAAAGAGGTTAAGAAATGAGAGGGGTCTGCTTTGAATTATCTATTTA